GCAAGTGGGTGGGGGGGGGCATTTTCGTTCATGCTTTCCTTTATTTCGATCTTGGCAAGCGATTTTGGCCACCTTTGTCAGGCATCTTGAACAGAATACCCGTTTGCCTTTAACCCCGACCTAACGGGCCTTCTCTGAGGACTCTGTGAGGCCTGACTTGCTCGGAGGGTTCCTCTGTGAGCTCGAGCACAACCATATGTTCTTCAACGGTTTCTCTTACGTACTTCGGAACGATGCTTCATCTCGCAGAGGATGCTTAACGCAGTCATTAAAAAATTGATTGTGTTTTTAAACAATGGTTTGAGTCAAAGTGGTGCTTTGATCGAACATATCTCCAAAGTTTCGATCGTACACCTATGACATATAAAGAGAGCCATCTCGTAAACATTCTGAACATTTATTTTCGCTGGCTATGCCATATAACGTAGTCATCAACTCAGTGAGAATAATTCTTCCGTGACTGCATGTTAAAGAGACAAGGTATCTCAAAGATAAAAGATTTATCTCACATTGCTGAGAATAGCGCTGGAGCACGTAATATCGGCAGCAAACCGTACGATATATCGAGTGCATGGGAGCAGCTCTAACTACTCTCTTATGTGAATCTGGTTGCTAATATTCCATGCTATATGTGATATCTGCAGAACGAGGCTTATCCTGAAGAAAAGCACTTGCGATGGAGGTAGTTCAAGCTTCTCACTCATGTTCGAACAGACTGCCATTGCGAATAAGCGTATCGTATCGAGAGAAAAAACCACTGCATTTAGGGGATACACATTAGGCTAATAGTCAGCCAGTTAATATGTATGTCAAGACGTATCGCATCCACAAATCTGCCGCATCAGACGTGCATTCACAAACACGTATTTGTTATCTGCTTCCCGGTCATCTGTACTGAGGCACATAAGGGAGAGGGTGAGTCCTTTGCTCAACTGAATTGGCACTCTTAATAACAACGTTTTACACCGCGCATTGACTCAAACCTGGCAAGTAACGTGCAAATTAGCATTGCCACTGCCTTTGTCCCTGTGTATGCATTGGAAGCAGTTGAAAAATATTGCTTCACGTGACACAACGACAGTTTAGTTTCGCTTCGTCACCTGATGGTTATGTCGGATCCAGCTATGAGGCACAGGCACAGAACGGACATGCTCAAAGCCTCACCAACTCATTTGTGACGAACAACAGATGCGCAAATCTCGAAATAAAGGGCAACGTTATATCAGGCCTTATGTGCGTAGGATGACCGACATTAAACTTAACTGTTCGAAGCGAGCAGCAAGAAGGAGAACGGTGCGCGTTACTCGACTAAAACATTTTTAAGTACCAAAAAACAATTTGGTCTTCCCGTGTGGTAAACAAAGCTATTCGTTCGCCTGGTCCACATAAACTCAAATCAAACAGTATCCAAAACGAATGAATGCTGAAACTCTTCCGGAGTCGTCTTAGGCCAAATGACTCGCATCTGATGGTCAATAACTTGCAAACGTGGAGCTACTTTCAATCGAAAGTAAAGAATAGGTTTACAGAACGGCGTTATGTGTAATTTCCATTATTTCGGACTTACCCCATGATCTCCGCAACTTTCTCAGTAGAAAACCAGAAATCAGAGAAAACGAAACAAGATAACCGGGTCAAAAAAAGTTTGCACAAAGCGTCATTCAGCAACTGCGAGAAACTCTCGTTTTCCAGTACCTTTCTAAGCTGCTGAGCA